TATCCTTGTACACCGGCTTCCTCTTCTCGACGAAACTCTTGACGCCTTCAGTCATGTTTTCTCCTGCCTCCATCTTGCGATAAATCCCGTCTGGTCAATGAAACCCGTCGCCTCTATCGGACCCATCGGCTCCCACCCAGTCTTTAGGCCCTCTCTCGAGACGATGATTGAGTCCGGCGAGTTTCTCGCAATGGCCTCCGCGGCACCCAGCGCAGTCTCCATCAAGTCGTCGGGCTGCACAACCTTGTTCACAAGTCCCCAGGATACCATTTCCTCGGCAGTGTAGTCCGTTCTCCCAATCAGGGCCATCTCCGTGGCACGTTGGCGACCCACGGACTTGATCAGACGAGGGAGAGCGCCAGCGATGGCGATGACACCGATGGTCACCTCGGGAAGTCCAAACTTAGCCTTCGTGGACGCGTACACCAAGTCCGCATTGATAATCATCTCCATCCCGCCACCGAGACACAGACCATTGACAGCAGCAATAACAGGCTTCTTCCCACCGCGATTCGACAGTCCGCCAAAGCCGGCGGTGGATGGCCACTTTTCACCTGGCTTGGCGTCCGGGTGGTCGGCTGCCACCACCGGAGCTTGTGGGGCCGGGTCTGCGCTGACGGAAGACGGGTTGTTGGATTTGCCCGTGGTGTTACGGACGTTCCACTCTTTCAGGTCCGCGCCAGCGCAGAAGGCGCGGCCGGTGCCCGTTAAGACGGCACAGCGGAGGGTTGGCTCCGTGTCGTACCACTCGTAAAGCCGGGCGAGGGAGTAGTGAAGTTCCGAGTAGATTGAGTTCAGGTGGCGGGGCCGGTTGAGGGTGATTAACATGATATGCTTGCGGGGGAAGGAGACGGCGGCGTCTGGGCCGACGTCGGGAGGAGGGCTGGCGAAGTTGGGCGTGTGTGACATTGCAGAGGTGGAAATTGTGTGATGTTACCCGTACAAGGGACTCCGTAAAGCTCGTGGATGAAGGTGGTTGAGGCGGAGGCGGAGTCGATGCTTAAGGGGGGAGGAGAACGTTTCACCGGGGTTCAAGGTTCAGAAGAGAGGTTTTGAAGTTGTTGAGTTGTAGTCGATGTGTGTCACGCACGATTGGTGTGATTAGGTGCCAACTTCTATGATTTGAGTCTTTGAGGGTTTTGTTGAATCTGATGAGATGTATAAAAAGAGTCCATGGAGAATGCGAGAGGCTAGCGAGGTTGGGGGATATCCGGGGTAAACATGATCTGTTACATCCATTTGCCTCGGCTCGCTTGAGTAATCGGGATTAGTTTCCGTGCGGGGTACACCGGGCTCGGTGTAGATCGGTGGAGCTTCGGTGGAAATGCTAATAAGTTGGGGTTTTGGTTCTGGAGACGTGGGGAACAACTTATCCACCCCCGTTCCACGCTCAAGTCGAGTCTGGTCGAACAAACAGGCGCACGGCACTAGTTTGGCGGGTAGAAATCTTGGCTTTCAGGCTCACTTGATTGTTTTTGACCAGTGAGATTTCGTATAGATCACTCATTACCTTAGTAGATGATCAGCATCCCATAATACCCTTGGTCGATAAAGATATTAGACTCCCTTACTTGCAGCCTATTGCGTTCATTAATATCGCGAAATGCTTCTTTTCTAATTGAGAATGAATAGCATTTGAACATATGGCATGTGACACCGATCATTTGCTTACACGCAGGCTCTGTTGCCATGAGACAGTGGTGTATTCTACTACCGGAAGACACCCGTGATTGAGGTGGCTTCCTGCATCTACAGACAGATCTAAACGGCAAGGCTCATTCTTCATATGAACCTCAGATACTGTTTGAACTACATATACTCTTGTGCATGTACTGAACACAAATTCATAGGGAGCTTGACACATCATTCAAACCATAGAACTGCTAGAGATTGGCTTAATGACTTGACTCCCAACATGGATGGGTAATTGACATATATTATTACCCTCGCCGGCTGTCGGTTCTACTGTCTATAACACATCAATGTGTCATCTCAGGAACCTGTTAAGTCGCTCATATTCCCCTGAGTCAAGTGCCAGGGAGTGAAGCTGAGGCAGTTCTGGCTCAATTATCGCGGACGCCGATGACCGGCGATTCGAATCGGCCTGTTTCATCTCGGCGATGTCTGAATGGCACATTGTGACTAGCGCAGTGGCGAGCTACAAGGCCCGAACTGATTGTACATGCAAGCTCTGAGGAACAACACCCAGAGGGCGACGGTTTCATCGCAACTTGAGACTTCAGGTCATAAGATCAGCCAGTACAGATCTCTTGGGCCTGTATGTCAATCAGCCTATTGACGAAGACGGACTTCAGATCGGATGGAACCCGATGGAACGAACTTTGGGTCCTCAGACGGCACTTCGCGAACTTGGATATTAGTGGAGTTGTCCTGTGTCTAGGAATCATTCGCACCACGCAATTCTCCACGTTGACTGCTGGACGGGCGTCCTCGTACGGAGAGCATCACCCGTTCTCGGAATAATTGGTGGATCAAGTCATCTTGCGTGGCCTGGCCCTGCCCAAACATGCATAAAGCAAAACTGTGGCAAAATTCGCGCGTATTTCTCTGGGCAGCATGCATGGCGGAGTGCTCGGAATGCCCGGCGGCCTGGGTGGGAGGCAACATATGAGCAAGTAATATCAACGACAGGTTGGTAATATGTGTAGGGCGGAGAGAGGATTTAGACTCATCGTCCGAAGATCCCGAATCCGACTCCATGGAACCATGACCCCGTACCTCCTAAGACGGTGAACATCATGTAACGAAACTTGAACTTCTTGGCCAAAACTCCCTGAATTGACTCGAGCACGTCGTCTCCTCGACCCCTGCCAAGCCACACCCCTGTTTAACAAGCGCCGAACCGTAAAGTCTCCGACTGAAAACTGCCCCAGACTCCGCCAGCAGTTGCGTGCCCGATTAAAGTTTCTTTGGGGCCCTCTTTGGCCGAACTCCTTTTTCTTTTTGACCAGCACACCATCTCTCGGACCTGGGCAAGTGTCAGCATTGTCGCAATGCGGCTCTAAATTTTGACTTTTACACCTAAAACATCAGACTTCGCTACAGAATCATGCCAAAACTTTCGAGTCAGAGAAGGGGAAACTTCGTCGCAAGTCTGCGGACAGATGCAGTCTGAAGTCTTGAACTCTATCTTCGGATGGCATGGGAACGATGGCGATGGTCTCTGGCAGCTCATTCTGATAGCATATATCATCATGAGAAACGCTTTTGATCCCGTGCAGATAGGAAAAGTAATCATCACTCTCTCTTCAATATCTTGGGTTTAACCTTCTTTTTCGCTTTCTTCTTTTGCAACTTACTTTCTTTTCGCGCAGTGCCGGCCATTGCTTTTCTCTGCATCCATTCGTTTGTATACGCCAGGAAACTTAACTCTCACGTTCTCTAGAGTGTCTCGAGATCTAAACATAAATCAAAATGAAGCCCTCTTTCCTTACCCTCGTTGGTCTCTTGGCCGCCTCTGTGGCTGCCAACCCCGTTCCCGCCATTGGTGGTGCTGTTCTAGCGCCCAGAGGCAATGGAGCCAACAATAACAACAACGGTGCCAACGCTGCCAAGGGCAAGCAGAATGGCAAAAAGAATGGAAACAACGGTGCTGCCGGAGGTGCGGCAAAGAACGGCACTGCTAATGCCGGCGGTGCTACCGCTGGCGGAGCCGCTGCGGGCGGCGCCGCTGCCGGTGGCGCTGGTGCAAAGGCCGGGAACACTTCTGCTCTTGTCTTACCTGATGGGCGTATCAAGGCAGACGCGACACCCGAGAACTTCAATGTCCTCGAGAGTGTGTTCAAGAGTGCTGTAGTCAAGGGCGATGGTAGGTTGTCTCTCGATGCTACTTAATCGTGCTCGGATCAAAGCTAAGAATGGGTTAGGTCTTGTTTTCAGCGACATCATCACTTTCCCCGAAGGCCAGGCCTCACTTGTACGTATCAACTCCACTTGCCTAAAGATTCTTGATTGTTGCTTACAACTACTAGTTCGACAAAGCAACCAACACCAAGGCTTTTGCCATCAACATTGATGACAAGTCCGTCTTCGTCCCCAAGGGTGGTGAAGCTCAGGCGAACATTCGTCGTGCCGATCTGCTCCCTAGCATCAGATCTCAGCTCAATGATGTGGCCGTCACTGGCGTCCGAACGATGCACTTCTCTATTCAGCGCGACGCTACCAAGCCCCTCAATGTTACGCACGACTATCAGGTTTTCAACCTTGAGTCCAAGGATTTCTCCTTCCACCAGATTGATGTTCGCACTGGAGCCGACAACGGCAACGAGATCGCGGTCTTTGGTAACTCCAAGACAACTCCGGCTGCCAAGATCTTCTCGACACCGTTCGGCGAGGGCCAGTTCGAGAACTTTGCCATCAAAATGGACTTCAATGCCAAGTATGTGCTTCTTCACAGTATCCTCTCTAGTGAATGTTCATTTGACTAATCGTGTTCCATAGCACCGTCCAAGTGTTCCACAGCACCGCCAATGATCCTTTGAAGCAGGTCACTGAGCCTATCGCTAATGGCAAGTGGTACCTTACCCAATCATGGAGAGACTGCCAGGCTAACAGATTGCAGATCTCGCCGGCCTTGGCGAATACCACTTCTCTCTGCAGAAGAACCCCGTTGGAACTGCGACTCAGCCCACTGGCATCAAGGAGGCAGTCATCTTTGGCGGCATCTTCATGGAGGACTCCACCTCCGGAACGGTTACCCTTCAGTAGTTGTTCTAGTTGTTCAACTCAACTTTTGCAGAAGGCAATGTGTTATGGCTAGCATCAGGCGTCAAGAATCAAAAATCAATTTAGACCTTGCCGCTTCGCCGCACTAGAATTGCCAACATGAATGATGATTTGTTCTTAGAACCAGAGGAGATACTGTGTAGCATTTCAAGCTCCCCCATGGCTTTTATCATCTATCTTCGCAGTTATTAAGGTCGAAAGTCTTAATGGTCGTCTGCGTAACGGCATAGACCTTAAACATGCAGGTGAGAAAATCAGAAGACCTTTTCCCTGCGCATGAAAATACTGCACACCAAGCAAATTGCTCCAGCAGCAATGATTGGCACATAAGCCAATTGAATTGCTCGAGTGATGCCATGGATTGCCTCAGCTCTCACCTCGGGTGAGGCCGAGTCGATCAAGCCGCTACCCACGCCTGCGAGGGCGTCGGAGATCACGTCGGCGGAGACATCAGGGAACACTTGCGCCAGTGCACGTTGGCCATAGTTGACAAAAAGCGCTCCTGACATGCCCGTGCCGAGGACGATGCCGATCATTTGACCAACAGTCATGAACCCAACACTGTAAGGGATCTCGTTCGGTTGAACCTTCATCTGGGCAACAGCGAATCCAGCTTGGCAGAAACAGCCGACGCCTGTGCCTAGGATGATGGTGTATCCGTAAATCTTAGCATTTGAGGTGTGTTCATCGACGATGTCTGATTGCAAAGGTCAATAGACGTGCGTTGGAAGAATAGGGCCATGGCTTACAGAGAAGAACGCCGCCGATAAGTTCGAGAGCTGAACCGGCGATGTACCATGGGTAGTAGTATCCAGTACGTCCCATAAATTGCCCATTGAGTAGATTGAAGGCTACTAGAAATAGGATGAAAGGTAAGAGATGGACGGAGGTCTCAACTGCCGAGATTCCGCGGGTAAATTGATAATACAGCGGCAGGTAAAAGATGCCAATGAAACTTCCGAAAGTCGCAAGCACTGATAGTCTGGTATTAGTAATTGCGGGGATTGGGCAAACAGGATGGAGCGAAACGTACTCATTGTGAAGAAAAGACAAATCATGGTTCGGCTCTTCCAGAAATGCATGGGAAACAGACGATTCTCTCGCGATGTGCCAATGAAGTAGACTTGCTGCAAGACGAAGAGAATAATCAAAACACCCGCTGCCACAAACAAACCAATGCTTTCGCCCTCGTTCCAATCCCAAAGAACCCCGCCAAAGTTCATGGCCATGATAACGCAGAGCATAGCACCAATGGACAGAACGGTACCAACGTAATCGATTTGCGCCAAGCGTTGATTGAGAGGCACGCCAGTTTGCGGTTTGAAGTCTGGAAGTAGGATGATGTAGATTGGTCCCACGACAGCACCGACCAGGAGGTTCAGATAGAAAGCCCAACGCCAAGTGGCTTTGCTCTCGCTGATGGCACCTCCAACCACGGGACCGAGGACAGTACCAATGCCCCAGATGAATCCGGTAAGACTCAGATATTTGGGGCGTTCGACATTAGTGGTAGTCACTGACAACAGTGTGAGGAGTCCCATGTACATTCCGCAACCACCCGCACCCGCGATTGCGCGACCGACAATGAAGGAGTTGATGTCGGGAGCGGCGCCGCAGAGCGCGGAGGCGGCCATGAACACAGTCGTAGACCCAAGATATAACTTCTTAGCCGAAAAGGTTCCGTATGCTTTCGACCAGGGAAGAGTCGTGGCCGCTGAAGCCAATGCGAACGAAACACCAAGCCATGGAACGAGATCGACGCGGTGGTATGTCTGGACGACTTTTGCTTGGACATTGGCGACAACAGTGTTGTCTAAGGCGTAGAGGAATAAAGCGGAGAGGAGGGCGCAAATTACGAGGAACCACTGAAGAACAAACAACTTAGCTCAGTTTTCACAATGCCTTCGGGGGACGGGAAGGGGCTGAGAGGGGCTGGCAGGATGATACAACATACCTTGACACCGTGGATAGTTCGTGGCGGATCAGCATCTTGAGCCCCGTTGAGTATCTGAGTGTCAACAGCTTTTTCCTTGTCTGACGGCTCTGACGATGGCGAAGGTGGTGTCAAGACGCCTTCTTGACTCGGTACGGTCTCCTTCTTTTCCAAATCAGCCATGTTGGATTGTGAGTCCAGATAGAAGCCTCTAGAGCCTTCGAGGTAGTTTCTTTGTGGTAAACTCAAGAGAAGTAAGTAGAAGAGGGAGGACTGTGAGGGAAATTTTCTGGCAATTTGATTGAGATCAGCTTGTGACGTTTAGGCCTCTTCATGGCAGCTTCGTATTTGTAACACGCGCGGAATTGACTACATCTACGATCTGTCTATCGACAGGATCGAAGCAAAACTTTGCAAGTCAACATAAACTCCACGGCGATTAGAAATCAGCTTGCCGAATAAGGAAGTGCCATTATTGCGAATCGAGAATACTACCTATGGCGAATCTCTCTTGCAACGGGTAGTGGGCCTGCCCCCCCGGTCCGGGCCGTCGTAAGTAGGACCCGCGATGCGGCTTTGCCGCAGAAGACCCCTAGGATTTGCTGCAGTGCTAAACTTTAATACTGCTGCACTGTGTAATAATATGTGGCTGTTGACAGGGCTAGAGACCAGATTTGTCGATGAGGTATAAGTCAAGGATGCTTTGCATCATCGCGCCCTGGAAACGTTTACGTGTTGTGGGAGACCCCCACGGAGTGAGGGTTGAAAAGCTTGTCAAAAGCAACGATGAGCATGCAACACATGTGACTTAGACTTCAAGGTCATGTCATTGCCCTTTCCACATAGCCATAATACAAGGACAGATCCGTCGTTGCCAGACTCCAAGTTGCAAACAAGTCTCTGTTTTGGACCCCAAACTGATTTACACCATTTGTTTTGTCAAGATTTCGGACTCGAGCCAATCATCATGATCATCACGCAGTCTCAATCTATGGCTGACTCGCCGACGCCTGTCCGAATCCATTATTCCCAGGCAGAAGGTGCAGCTCAGGCTGTCGACCCTGGCAAAGTTCTCGTGTCTTTCCTCGTCTCTCCGATCAACCCACAAGATTTGCTGGTCATTGCAGGTCGATATCCCGTGAAACCATCTTACACCCACGATGGCGAGCCCGTTTTGGGTTACGATGGCGTCGCGCGAGTTGAGATTGTAGGAGTCGAATCCTCGTCCTCGATGACCCCGACCTCAGCGCTACGGCCCGGCGATCTCGTCATCCCGCGTCGCCATGGTCTAGGAACTTGGCGAAGTCAGGCTATTCTCAACTCTGCCGATGTGATCCGCCTTTCACCTACGGAGGATCTCATCGGTGCATCGCTCCTTCGCATGGCGTTCTTGCCTGCCTACCTCCTTGTTGAGGATGTGAGAGCGCTGAAGCCCGGCGATTGGATTGTCCAAAACATAGGATCTGGGACCATCGCGCGACTGGTTTCTCAGTTTGCTCGCATCAAAGGTGTCTATACTGTCAGTATTGTACGCGACCGCAGTCTGGACGCTTTAGAGGCCCTGAAGTCCGACCTGCTGAAAGACGGGGTTGATGCCGTCCTTACCGAGTCTGATCTCCAAGCACGAGGTGCCAATGCGCATCCTGCTCTTGCCGACGCGGCGGGCCGCAATCGTGTGGCCCTAGCCATCGATGGCGTCTTCGGGGAGCCTGGAGAGCGACTCGCGTCTTTGCTCTCCCATGGAGGGACTTATGTGAACTATGGATCCCTTGGCGGGGCGGATGCGGTCTTGCGTCTTTCGCAGCGCCTCTTGTTCTGGTCTGAGGTCAAGTTCCGCAACTTTCGACTTTCAGAGCAGCTCATTCAGCGAACACCCGCGCAACTGGAGTCTCTCCTACTCTGGTTCCAGGATCTCCTGGCTCGGGGTGCACTGGTGACACCCAAGGTGCAAACTATCCAAGTTCCGATCTCAGCCGAGGGAAGAAACGACTTTGAGCAGAGCATCAATGCTGCCGTCTCTTCTGGCTTCGGAGCGGCAGTAGGGGATGCAAAGCGCGTACTGGGGTTTACCCATACTTTGGCGAGACACTGAGATTGGATGTGTAGATTAAGGTAGTGAATTCAAACAAATCCACCCAGGTACCCATGCATTCAGCTCGGGACATGTGTGTACATGTTGGATGATTCCATCGGTTTGGAAGAGTGTGCAAGTCTTTAGAGCCTGAAGTACTCTTACGTGACAAACCTTAAACAGAATCTGTCCAACACGCTGATCAAGAGCAAAAGCAACCTTTGGAGTTCCACTAGCAATTTTCATTGAGATTCATTCTACTAAGTATCATGATGCATCTCTATTGCAGGCCCTCATCTTTGCCCACAGTTTCAGTCTACATACTGCTTCTCCTTCTCAATGGTCTTGGCGTTGAATTTGCGCAATTGATCCTCCAACCCTGGGATCGGTTCATCAAAGTCAATGCGAGCACTGTTCATGAACCTGGCCAAGAAACTATAGATGCCCTGCACGTAGAAGATCTCCGTAATCTCTTCATCACTGAAAGTCTTCTTGGCTTCGACAATGGTATCCTCTTCAACTTTATTCTCGCGCCCGAGAGTAGTAACAATGCGACCCAGAAGGCGCTGACGCGCGGTGAAGAGACCCTCCGGCAAAGGCTCGTGGGCCTTGCGCAGAGCAGCAAACTGATCTTCGGTGAAGCCGAAAATACGAGCAACGGGCTCGTTCACATCCCACTCGTAAGGAGCATTCAAGGTGGCTGCAGTGCGTAGAACGATGAGCTGCCAATCAGTGGAACGAATCTGTCGCTGCTCACTCCAAGCTGAGGACAAGAGGTTCATGAACGGTTTAAAGAACACATTGCTGTTTGCGAGAAGCTGTATTTACTGGCGTCAACATCGAGGTATTTCAAAGGTTCTACTACACTATTGAGATGTTTGTGGGGTCTCAATCGCACCTTGAAAACATTTCTCTCAAACGGAAGAGTTTGGAGAGCAGCCTTGATATCGGGCTGGGCTGTGCTCGAGTCAACGTAAGGCAGCAAGTGCTCGTTCGTGACGGTACGATCATCCCAAGAAGCCATGTTCGCAGATGAAATGCTGAAATCTTGTGAATAGTTGGAAGGATGGAAGACTAAGTTGACGAGTTGATTGTTGTAGAATGTAGAACGTGGTGACGAACAAACTTTTAACTACCCAGTCTTTAGACGCCGTTGAGAGCGTTGTCTTCCGCCATTATCATCAACACCATCTCATTCTCTCCCCATCTTGCATCATCCCACCAATGACGCCATGTATTGAGCAGATGATGACCTGCTTGATATTCCCTCCTTGAACATGGTCATCTGTTAGAGTTTGAGTTGAAGCGATTCGATAATATGCGGCTCAAGCCTCCGGTTCATCTGATGTGGAGAACGAACAAGAAGGATAGCTACGGAGAACACAGTCAAACGAACACTGTGCGCGCGGGGGTTACATTTTGCTCTCGTTGAAGACTCCATCTGAATCGATTCAGGAACCGCAACCCTGTCAGCGAGACCATGTTTTTCCTGCCTCTTCAACCCATTCGGAATCATCGTAATATGGCGGCCCCTGTCACGTAACATCATTCCTCTTGTCACTAACGACGTCTCCCCGATCGACAAGCTATAAAGCAGACTCTCATGCACAGCATGGGTTGGAATCTTCAAGGGCCACGAGCGTCACGCCTGCCGCTTTTCCGTCCGGCACGTCGAATAGCATGCCAGTTTAGATGCTAGGATAGTTGGATGTATAACGAGATCTCTTGAAAAGGATATTATGGGACGGGACATGACTCATATGATCAATCTGAGTATCATCCACGCATGCTCTTCCCCATGTTGATGTCTTCTTTCATAGCCTGAGGGGGACGGCTGGAACCAGCGGGTCTCGGTGTTCCCGCCATTCTGTTCGTCACTAATTGATGATTCTCACTTCCGATTGTCGTTAGAAGATTCCTTGTAATTGAATCTGGATGGAAGAAGGCATTTCCAGGCGCGATGAAGTCCAGAACGTCTCTCCTCGACGTTCCAATGAGCCATTTTCCAACCACCTCCACACCGAACGTGACTCTTGATGTAGCAACGAAAGTGCTGTCACGGCAGACAAGTTTGATCCCTCGCTGGAAATTTTCATTCTCTGCGCCGAGTACCAAAGGACACGGAATTTGAATCGGCCTTATCGGAAAGAAATCAGCTGAAACTCCGCAAAGACTGACTCGAGGTGGAATCTTAAGTTGTCTAGACGCCTGAGGGTCACCTTGCGCGTCTTACAAAGTCTGGTTAATCTATCACGCGATGATGGTCACTCGCATCAAGAGTGGCACATCTACAAAGTTGCACGACCCTGGTCAGAAGTAGCACGGAGTTTCAGACGGGTCAATAGTTCCGATATTTCGACTCGTAAACGCATCCATGTCGGCGTATGGCCCGATTCGAGACAAGGTCGTAAAGTTGGCGTCGACGTTGAGGACGCAGGTCGAAGGGAGCACGCCATATCTTTACCATAAGGAGCTCAAAATGCGACTCGTGATCTTTTCCTTCCAGCTTCTGGATCTTTGAGGCAACTTTTGTCTCTATATTCGCAATCGTCTAGAAAAGTGACGAGATGCGTTCTCCAGGCGGAAGTCGGACGATGTGGCGATGCTCGGGCTAGCCTGGGTGAAACTTGCTGCAGGCTGTGACACACAAAGCCCAAAATCGCTTCCGCGCGGGTACCTATGGGTTGATAGTGATGTAGAGAACCTGAGCCGTATGCTTGTGGAACTCCCATGCTATCACTGAGGAGAAATCCCATCGGAGGCAAGATTCACGGATGGGCAACGGGCGGTTGGTTGGAACGCTCCGGGGCTTGGTATAACAACGCGAATGCGTTGAATTGACTTGTTTTTGTTTATAAGCTGGATGCTTTGCTCGTAATGATGAAAGACAGTATTCTATAGAAATACAATCAATCTTTTGCGTCTGAACTGCAGCATTTCCAATCTCATTATCTGCATTTTCCACCCTCTTAGACTTTTCGTTACCCCAAGTCTTTGACTGCTACAATGCAGTTAATCCGGCATATCGAAAAACATGAGGATTTCTTCCTCCCTAGCGCCGATGACCTTGCTTTCGGCATCCACGACAAGCTCTACGGTAAGGAGAGCTCTT